GTCTTACTGAAACTTGTATAAGCTCTAATTAGAAGGCAAAAAAACAAAAAGAAGCCATTAAGAAAGAGTAGGCATACTTTCCAAAAACTGGAATTCTTTGTCGCTTCCGACGGAAACGATGTGGCCGTGATTACTTTGACAAATAGTCGACATCGCAGTATAGGTCTTGAACTTCCTCAGCTTCTTACCAACTTGAGTCCTCGCTGCCCAATCAACATCTAACTTCAACAGTGCTGAGATATCATAAATTATTGCACAGAAGAAAATCCATTACTGCGTCGATATCAAACTGTTAAATTGAGAGAAATAAGAAGACGCTTGAATAACTGTTTGAAAAAAGGAAATAAATTTAAGAATCAAAACTAAGCATAAGTAACTTGTTTTCTAAAACCTTCAGTAGCAAAATTTTTTTGGGATAATTCTACTGTTTTTATTGATAAAGTAGCTGGTCTGCAAATTAAAGGCACTGCAGTTGTTTCTAATCTCTAACTATGGCCACTTTATGATGCAAATTAGGAAATTTACCTGTCTTCTGAAAGTCTTTTCTAAATATAGAAAGCTAACTTCTCATATTGCTTTTTTTTTCAAAAGTCATTTCGTTTATTTTTTTCAAACTTTTAAAATCACATTAAATTTAAGAAAAAAAAAACAATTTTTCAGCGAAAACAAAGATTTACTTACGACAAATGAAGATTTAAAAACAATATCAATAGAAATATGTGTAAAAGAATAAAAAATCAGACTTGAAATGGCGGTTAATACGAAATTGACAAATTTTCAAAAGAAAAAAAAAACATTTTCAAAAAGCGTCAAATTCGAATAAAGCCACTAAATAGGACATTTCTGCCTCCAAATATGAGATGAAGAAATTCGACAATACAGTTTCTTGAACTGCGCCTGTTCTGCTTAGCAATATTAAGAGATGATTCAAGCAAGAACCAAGAAGTGGTAGACGGAGAGCTCAGTGCCAGAACCACCGTATTCGGCAGGCGGTAACACCGTTTTAGCTTGGGAAAAAGGGTCAGTCAGCCTGCCTGAGACTCAAAAGGAAGTAAGCGAGAAAATTCAGTCTGGTTATAAAAAGCACTGACTACTTACATGCATTGATTTATAGCAGAAAGGTTTCGACTGAGTGCTGTCTTTAAAAATCGGTTCTGTACCACCACCGCAGTATCCGATTGTTTCTAAAAGCAGCAAATTTCTCCAGGTTCTCAAGCAAAAAAAAGCAAGAAGGGAACATAAAAAAATCAAATTTTTTTTGCTCTACTCTTCTCTTTTTTTTTTTCTTTTTGGTAATATGATAAGAAGAATAAAGTTCTGTTACTGCAGTAATTTTTCAAAATAATGACATTAACAAAAATTCAAAAGAAAAAAAGCCGAAATATTCGTAAAATTTGTATCATTCATGCAAATGTCTACCAATTTTAGCTGTTTTTGCTGCAGTAGTGAACAGATTCCAGGACTCCTTCTCATCGATAGACCACTCCTCATTTGGCTTGTATGTAGCAAAAATTGAACCTAATAAATTCAAGAACTTATTTAGGCAACCACTTCAGGGGTTATTTTAGGAAATTCCAAAAATCCAAAGAAGAAAAAGTGAAAAAAAAATTAATTATTGCTAACTTAAGGGGAAAAAAATATACAAAAAATCTCAAATTTTTTGGTTTAATCTTTAAGCGTCGTTAAACAGGTTAGAAAAACTTAAAAGCTTATTCTCTGCAAGAGAACCATAAAGTAATCTACTTTTGATTGCTTTTGTTAATAGAAGCTCTCTTTTGTTTTACATTTCTTAGTGAATACTTACAAACTAATAAAACTTGAATTACTAGTAGACAAAGCGTATTTCCCCGTAAACACAACCACATTTTTGCCTTAAATTTACGTAATTAAAAACTCATTTGTTTCTACGCTTTTGTAGTTGTCAAAAATGCGCACGAACTTCGACATTTCTAAAACTGAATGAATTCAGTTCACCTTAACAATTTTTTGCGTTATACCATCTATAGAGTTTCACTTTCTGCAAGGTGAAATTTTCTCTTGTACAATTCTCTGCAACTTCTTTAGCATTTCTAGTACAGTTGTATTCTGTAGTTTGCCTCACTATCTCCCCGCATTTCTGATTTTTAGGAAGACGTGAGCTGCCTTATTTTCTGCTATATAATAATATTACAATTCATTGTTACACTAAAAAGTGTAACTGTATCAGCTGATACTCATCGTTTCTGGTTGTCTGCAAACGGCGCCAAATTCGTGAGATATAAACATGCGGTGACAGACGAAAAAAATAAAAATAAAAAGAATCCTAAAAGTTGAGACTTCACTTGCGTGAAGTGTTTGGTATTCAACTGATAACAACGAATCCTACTGAAAAAGATGAAAATGCAAACCTAAGCGCGGGATCAAAGACGACAAGCAAGAAACTGCCATCATATGCTAGAATAATCCGCTGAATAAAATTACCATGCGTGTTGTACTTTTTTTCAAATCAGATTTCCGCTTTCGTGTAAATTTAACCGGAAGTCATGTTTCAGCAAATTCTGTGGGATAAGTTAGGGCAGTTATTAAATGGTAGGTAAAAGACCTTGCGAAGTACAGGGATGAACTGATTAACGAGTTGTTGCAATCGCTGTCTGGGATAGGGTTGTTATTTAACTGAAGAGCGTTCTTTGCGCACTGGTCTGGTTTTTTCACAAGATGTTAATAGCTAACTACAACAGATGTCACACCAAAGACCCTACGAGGTCCAGAGGCACAAATAGCAAATATAAAGAGCAAAATCTTAAACATGAGCGTACCCGGCTCAAACGGCTGAAGCGGCTTGACTTCAGATTACTATGAATTTGTCTACATATCAATATCCTAAACTCCTGATTGTTCTCAGGCAGTCATCGTACTTCCTTTCCTTCGTATACAGTAAGCATGATCAATGCCTTAAACTTAGGGAAATACTCAAATTTGATAATGTAATACTAATTATAGCTTTTGCGTCTGATAATATTGTTTTTTTTTTTTTACGATAACAGTAGCCGTCCAATGCCTTCAACACACCAATAATCTGCCCAAATTTCTCACCTTTCATCAGCCAGTCAGTGAGGGAGTTGACATATTTGACTAGGTTTATGCCCATCATCTAGGTATTAATGGTAGGACCCTGCAGTAGATTAACAGCCATTTAGCCAGCAAAACTCAAAAAATCATCATAAAGGGCTGTAAATAAATCTTCTTCACGAGCAGTCACCCCAGCAGTTCTTCAGAGCGGCATTATGGACCGCTGCTATTTATTATCCAAATATCTGAATTACCAATGATCGCTGAACATAATGAACTTATTTCCGCTAGTAGATAACTGCAAACTATATTTCTCCCATCCAAAAAATTGCATAAACTTAAGTTCTGGCCTAGTGAAAAATTATAAGTAGGCTCAGCAAGTGCAGTTATTATTGTCTTTTCGCAGTTGTTTTGTAGTTCAAGTAATAATATTCGTCGATACTGCCCGGGCAAAGTGCGAGCTGATCGCAACCGGGGCATCTTAAATGATTGTAATTCCTCTTTCACTCCGCATTCTGTAGCTATAATTTGAAAGTCGCCATGTATTGCAAGCTAGATTTTCAGAAATTTTTGTTGTAAGAAGACTAGTCTTCTAATCCTTCTCTATAAAAGTTGTACTTTGCCTGTTATTAAATATGGATCTGTAGCGTACTAGAGCTTCTTGTCCAAAACAAATTTAAGCAAACTAGAAAATGTTCAAAGACGTTTCACTAGAAGAATTCCACAGTTCCATAGAACTCTTATTTCGTACGACAAAAACCTTAATACTATTGAGCTTCGCTTGTGGAAGTGTTTTCTATTTTACTTACAAATTCGCGCACGGTTTTGTTGACCATAAACTATCTGGTTTTTTTACCTTCCCAGTGAGGATTACAGTTTGAGAACAGCTGTTTCGCATTTAAAATTTAGGGATCCAAAGGATGTAATACCAAGCACGAGTCCTTTACAAACCACATTAGTCAAATTTCGAGTAGCTTTTCAAGTGACGTAGCTGTGGGTTCGAATCCGAAGCGTTTTAAAAAGACAAGAGGTTGAAAAATTTTAAAGATATCCTGGATAAGTTTTTGGTTGATAAATGATCAATTGGTTAAGTAAATAAGTTCCTTTGTTGCTTTCGCTCGACATCTGCCCAGTAAGGAAAAAGAGTAGCTCTAATCACTTTTTGGGTGTGGCTAATGTAAGCGAAATGAGTGAATATTTTTTTGCTTTTTAAAGAAGAGGTGAAGGAAAAGAAGTTAAAATCTGACAAGCTTTTAAACTTTAGATATTACAATGCTCAATATCTCCTGTTGTTCCTTTCCTGTTGTTTTAGTCTTCACTTCCGTTAAGGATAATTATATTGTTTGTTACAGATTTCCAATACCTTCTATTTAAAGTGTTTATGTATAAAAGAAGTTTTTGCCTTCCACGCAGCGGTAGAATGAGTAAATAAACAGATGAATAAATAAATCTGTCAAAATTAGCAGTGACACATCGCATTCCTTGAGTCACCGATACTTCCCTGGTGGAAGAATGTATAAAGTTCTTTTGTTGACTGAAGGTCTTATTAGGTCTTTTTTCTTTTACTTCTTCACAGTATGCTGACCAGCTATGTCCCAGATGCCTGGATGTTCCTCGGAAAATGAGAAGAAAACAAACGTCTTTCCGTCCAAAGATTTGCCAAGAGTGCCTACATGCTGTGTGTGCATCCATCTATATGTAGAACACTTTTCACTCCATAACTTCCCGCTTTCTCTATGTTACCAGATATTTGGCCTATTGCCAGGTTAAGGGGCTCCCAATCAAGGAAGTTATCGAAAATTGTTTCTTCACCATAGCAGGAGTATTTTGTGCGTCAGTTCGTTGTTGATCCTTCAAGTTTTTGACGCAAGCTCTTCCAGTTTGTATCCTTTTCAACGATTTGGATGGCTACTTTGGCCGAAAAAGTAGAAATTGTAGGTTTTTCTTCTAATAGTTCTTATTTTTTTCGAGGAGAACCAGTTATCCGGCATATCAGTTTTGATGTCTTCTAACTTTATCTTTTTTGTAATTGCATTTTCCTTGTTGGTGTTTTAAATGAATACTTAATTTAGTTGAACCCTGCCGACTTGATTAATGATCCAACAAACTTAACAGTTATATTGCACGAAGAAGACCATACAATTGGTAATTCATTGAAACATATCTTATGCAAAATGTTAGTCCTTACGCATTCCTGCCTCGTAACTGTTTAATGCCCTCACTTTTTT